ACACACCCACACACACACACACACACACACACCAATAGAACCATCAAACAGTCTGACACACACACATTTCTGCTGCATGTTTACACCATAGTTCTTATTTTGAAACTCAATTCTGAGAGCTTTTGTCAGTCAGGGACAAGTGGATTTCCTGAAGTGGTCAAGTGAAGGAGAATTTTACTTCAGGACAACTAACCTAATTAAAAAAATCTACCTAAAGCAGCACTGAAATTTTGGTGAGACGACTCTGATCGTATTATATTTGGTGTAAACGGCAACTGATAACAGATAACGTACTGACACAGCAGGTGAGGCTCGTGCAGCCTGGCTGTGTGTGAGTGAATCTCGTGGAGAAACACAACTGCACACAGAAGAGACATACTGCCGTAAAAAGGTCGTTTTTATATTTATAACATGATATAGACTAGTTAAGCAACATGACACGAACTAGAGTGCAGTTTTCGGTATGATTGCAAATTTGACACTGATTTTAAACAACAGTTCAAAAAAACAAAAAAACAATTAGTGTTTTTGCTCTATCTTGTTACGAAAATAGTTCCAAACAGAGATCACAGCTGCATCCGAGCAACACACAGCAGTGTTTCCTTACTGAATGATTCGCGTTTGAGTCAGTGATTCAGTGGTCCGTTCATTAAGACATCTACTGGCGGTTTACTTTCATATTTAAAAGTAGCGACCACACACACACGCGTCACATGACCACACACACACGCGTCACATGACCACACACACACGCGTCACATGACCACACACACACGCGTCACATGACCACACACACGCGTCACATGACCACACACACGCGTCACATGACACGAGCGTACCTGTTAATGAAGCAGTTGATGCCGTGCTTGAGGATGCGCTCCACCTTCTCCTTCATCTTCTCCTTCTCGGCCGTCTCGATCTCGGCCACTTTAGCTGTGGAGTCCACACGCACTCTGGAGCCGAAGACCTGCGGAGACACACGCTAGCGTTAGCTTACTCACGCTAGTCACGCCTGCGCTCGCGCTCAGAGCCCGCCGTACCTTGATCTTGTCCGTGTCCATGCCGGTGTTGGCGATCAGGATGTTGGCGTTCTCGATCCTCTTGGGCTGGTTCACGCCGATCCTCTTGTCCAGCAGGAAGCCTGTGAGGAGCAGGAAGAGACACACAGACACACGTGTGAGCGCTAATGCTCGCTAGCATCACTGACTGACTCCTCAACACACTGTTAATCAATCTGAAAAACTACATGCTTGTTTTCAGTGTCAGTTTCTGATACTTTAGAGACATTACTATTAGATATAATGTAATATGAACAAAATATAATAAGATTAGTATATATTATTCTATATATAATAATAATAATAATAAACAGATACAATTTATATTCAGTGAGCTGAATCATGATTATAGGAAGATTAAAACACCCTTATTTATCAAAATATTACAATGCTGGCCAATACTGATCAGATGAACATTGTTTTACTATTTTGTCTAAATAAAACAATAATAATAAAACTTAAAAAAAAAAACTAAAAAAAGGAAGCCTAACAAAAAAACTAATTGATAATCTTTTAATTCAAATTTTAATACTGTAATAATAAAATAATAATAATTATGAATATTATTATATTACAGGACTGCTACTACTAAAAGTAATAATTATTACAGGAACAACAATCGGTACTGTTATCATCATTAAAAACAATTAAATACCTAGTTTTGCATATATAATTGCTAATTGTTTCATTTTACTTTCGTCTAGGGGTGCTCCGATCAGGGTTTTTGAGGCCGATGGCCGATCACAGACAGCAGTATCTGCCGATACCGATCTTTTTTAAGCCTTTTTTATAATTTATAACCGTTTATAGTGATACTCCAATCAGGATTTTTAGACATTTATTCAGGGCCTGAATTTCATTTCTGAAAATGTGGGTAATTCCCCTCTTAGGTGTCTCTTGTGAGAGAAGCAGCTTTCAGACAGCAGTCCGCTACTGATCCGTGTTTACCACAAACAACATTTATCCATTAGTATCATTTATAACTATTTATAGTGATACTCCAATCAGGATTTTTAGACATTTATTCAGGGCCTGAATTTCATTTCTGAAAATGTGGGTAATTCCCCTCTTAGGTGTCTCTTGTGAGAGAAGCAGCTTTCAGACAGCAGTCCGCTACTGATCCGTGTTTACCACAAACAACATTTATCCATTAGTTTGATTTCAAATCCAAACACTGTCACTGAAAATGCTTTATCAGCATTGCAATTCTTTTTTTACACAGTACAGTAATACAATCTTTCACAGACATGTTTAAACACAATA